TACGTCTCTCTCGCTACTCANCCTCCTCTCTCTCTCTCTCTCTCTCTCTCTCATATTTGCTCCTTGCATGTGGTTACTAAGGTAAACTTACCAACGTTCTGCTCCATTGTAGTCTCCTTCAATAGACGTCTCTCTCTCTCTCTCTCTCTCTCTCTCTCTTAAAACCACATACTAGGAGTTACTAAATCAACCACCCTACGACAACAATACCACTCTTAACCGGCCTTTCAGATCTTGGGAGAGACGAGGCATGAAAAAAAATGGTTTGCTCTGAAAAATATCCATGAAAAATAGATTCTTGTTGTTTGGATGCACCCTGGAATTCCCTACACTTTAGATACATCGTATCCTTAAACATATTATTGTGAAAGGAAGAAGTCCAATCAATATTAAATATCTACACCTCAAACATATTAAGAGTGAAATGATCATCAAGCAAAACACTAAACTTATTGAATCTAAATCAAGGTATACAAAACTAGACATCCATAAAATAAGTGTGAAAATAAGTGCGAGGAAGGGCCTTGTAAATCTGTTTTTCACAAATGTAGCTTGGTTCAAAAGAGTTCTTTACTCAGGATTTTATTAAAAGTCCTTTCTATTGTTGCTCAAATCTAGCTTTGAGAAAGAGCCATTTACTCGAGGTTTTCTTTCCAAAAAAACATAAAAAAGAAAGAAAGATAAAAGACACTTTTACTCAAGGATCGCGACTATGAAGCTGTTGATATTGAGATGGAGAGAGAGACCACTAAGTAGAGACAACAGAGAGAGACCAAGCTCGCTTCAAGCAAGGCATGGTTGAGATCATATTTTTTGCATTACAAAATAGATGAGCACCACTTATTTCAGCTGTTATGACTTCTCTAAATCAAGACCACGACCAGATTTCTTACTAGATTCAGCTCTTACCAGTTTTTTGGAACTTAGAACATTGAACCTGTCTTGCATCACATTCTCCAACACATGTTCATCGACCTGTACTTCATCACCTGAACCTACCAAGATGTGATGGAAGGTCTCTTGTATTTTGCTGACTCCTTTTCTCCACAGGCTCTATTGCTTGGGTTATTGTTAGAACCACATCCTTCACAACCTGGAATTCACAACCTGAAATTCCATAACCAGTATGTATGAATGTCAATGTAGGCATTTAGAACATATTATGCACATGAACATGTAAAATAGATGAGTCATCATAGTCATGAATGCATCCACCCAAGGCTTCAGTGATGCATGCAAGTTTGAGTGAACTTACTAGTGAGATAGATTCAAGTTCTTGGTTGTGCAAATATATGCGTGATGCTTATGTATGTATGCATTTAAATATACGAACACATACTAGCATACAGACATATTACATTCTACATTGAAGCGTATGCCTGTCAACAACCAAGTGCTTGTAATGCATTAGGCTCATGTTCTCATAATAAAGACATGCATGTGTTCATCAAGATATATGTGCACGCCGTTGTGTTTCTGTAACGTCATGCGCTCGTATGGAACAAACTCTACATGCATGCTATTGTGCTTGCTTATGTCCATGAGCTCACATAAGCTCATAACTCGAATGCATGCATGTGTTCATGTTGATGCATGTGCATGCCATTGCGTTTGTGTTTGTTCATGAGCTCATGGCATATAATCCAACATGCAGACATATGTTCGTGTAGAAGCATGTGCATGCCATAGTTTTTATGTACATCCATGCTCAGAGCAAGGAAACCCCAATGTTCGCCACCCCCAATGAAAACATCCTGAACACTCACATGGATCAAAGGCAGGGCAATCAACTTAGGCATTCACTTCGGCTTATACAACTATGGACACAACTAGCTACATAAACCATTTATAACATAATCAAAAGAGAACTATCAAAAGAAAGTGGTGCATAAACAAAACAGAATCAAACCAATCTAAATGAAAGAGCACTGTACTTAGATAATGCAACCTATAAGCCTAGTGGTCATGAAGTAGAAAAAAAAATTAAAAAAAAAAGAGTAGAAAAGAAAATGAAGGGTGAAGCCTTCAAGTACATGAAAGTAAACAAAATTAAAAAACACACAAGAAAAAAAAATGGAGGGTGAAGCCTTCAAGTACATGAAAATAAACGAAATGTCAAACCGCAAACAAATGTCAAACCAACCAGCCTACAACTACAAAAAGAGGTGAGTGGCCTTCCCATGGCTCATAACTATAACTAAAAGAGTTAACCCCAAACTGCCATGTCCATACATACCTGAGTCATGGCCTTCCCAAAAATATCTTAAACTGATCTTTCTCAGGGCATCTTTGTTGATGGGCAAATCTATGCATTTCCATAAGGAGCTCTAGTTTGTTGATGGGCAAATCTATGTATTTACATAAGGAGCTCAAGAAATATATCTTCAAATGGTTTGTAAATTTCAGCACAACAATTGGAAAATAATTTCTGCAAGGTACATTAAATATAACGTATGAGAAATTAGGTAATTTTCAATTCCTTATATATACAAATGAGCTTAAATACTAATAGCCTAATAAATTATCTAGAACTAAATGTATCCATTACCTTTAAAACTTAGGAGATCGGATGACAACTTGAAATCATAATCAGGTTTCAGCTTATGTTTTTCATATTTTGTCTCGTACTTTTCTAGGATTCTGATCTAAAGGCATCTTTTTCTGAGATTATGATCCAAAGGCATCTTACCAGATCCATCAAGTCGACCGTAGAGCTCTACAAGTGCAATCGCTTCTAATCAGCCCAAAAGAAAGAATGTTGCAAGATTTGATATGCGCTGAAAAACAAACATGTACAAAGCATATTTCTAATCAGCATTAATTTATCGCGAGGTATAGAGATAGCAATTTAGAAATACACGAATCATCCTAACATGAAAATGTGGAAATATTATACTTGCTTGGGGAGATTATGTTTACTCATGATATTTGTGAGCTTTGAGTTCTAAATAGCCATCAACATGTTTACTCATGATATTTGTGAGCTTTTTGAGTTCTAAATAGCCATCAACGTGCTCTTCGTCATGTCTTAAATCAATGATATCTTTGAATATAATCCCTAAGCTATTAATATCTCCAACTGTGATAAGTAAATAATTGTTAAAAAACATGTAAAACAAAACAGCAATCAAACAAAAAGGAAAGGCTGGCTAGCTCTATTGGAGAAAAGCAACACACGCAAGCACGCGAACACAAAAAAAAAGATTTATACGAGGTGCGCACCTTAAAAACTCAAACTGAATGAATGAACTCACTCTCAAAAAAGAAGAAAACATATTCTCCAAACTACTACAAAATTTCCATAAAAAACGCAAGGTAGATGATTGCAATCAAAGAAAAGAACAAAGAACTCCTCCTTGATTGTTATAGTGCCTAAAATTTTTGCACCAAGTGCATTCAATTGTAAAGAGAAAAAATAGGAGAATAAGTAAGAAATAAGACATTAACAGACATCATGCTCAGTCTATCAAGAAAGGAGATGAGCAAAACAAAGAACATTTTGGTAGAACATTTTGGTCGAAATGGCTATAGATATATACATTTTCAAGTACCGGCATAAGGAAAATGATAATTAACCGAAATTTTTATTTAAAAAACTAGAAAGAAAAACAGAAAATAGCTCTAGCTAAACTATCCTTTGCGATACACTTTAGGAAGAAAGTCCAATGTCCCAAAAAGAAGAGAGAAAAAAGATGTGCCCACATAAACCAAACTAAAGAAGCACCAATTCATGAATAGCAATTTCAATACCATGAGCTCACTTCAGCAAATGCTAGAGAGAGAGAGAGAGAGAGAGAGAGAGAGAGAGAGAGAGTAAGTTTTAT